CGTCTACTAGCGGCATTTAGTAGTGGCACGCCCGCACCCACCAATCTCGTATGTGAGCAAATCCCCGGCTTGCCCGCAAGGCGCCATGGCGGATTTAGGGAGCAAACATATTTTGGCACGCCCGGTGGGATTCTTATATGAAGTTAGATCATGAACAATCCTTATGTTCATGATTTTTCTGCTTTTTCGGAGGATGACGGTGTGGAAGAGCGCCCAAGCTATGGCTATCACATAGAGCCAACCTACAAGTTGCCAACTTATGGGTACATGGCGGAAAAGTACTCAAGTCCCATGGAACATGATTGTCGGCCAACTAGTGGCCCTCAAATAAATAATAATCTTACAGATTGGCCAACTTATGGCTATGATGAAGGTTATTATTCTTTTGAAGACAATCATATTCATGAATACTATGATAGGCCAATAAATGGCTTTGAGTATCAAAATGCTTCCAATGAGTACATAGAGCCAATATATGAGATGCCAACTCATGATCATCCGGATGAAAAGCTCTACAAAGAGGATGTGGGCAAATTAGAGAAGGTGTCCAAACTCCATGCGGCAAGCATCGAATATGGTGAAGAGGTGACTAAGTGTTTTAAAAGGGTGGAGGAAAGCTATACAACTTTTGGGGAAACTTTGAGAAATTTGATAGATCAAATGAGTCAAAAACCCTCTACAAAGCACACTCACCCTACTATAACCAAGGAAGAACAAATCATGCACGTTGTTGAAGGCCAAACAATGGCCCCACCCAATGAAAAATCCATGAAAATGGATATGGTTGTAGAAGACCAAGCCGTTGTAAGCGAAACACCAACGCTCGGGGGGCACAAGCCCACACCTCATGTGGAGCCCGAAGAAGAAGAAAATAGCTCCTACACTCTTCCCCGCCAACACAAGCATGTGGCCCGTATCAAGATCTCGAGGAGGACAAAGCTCGGGATCAAACATGAATGGCCACCTCCTATAGTTCCCAAGCTATATGGCATGACCAATTTAAATGGTGGGTATGATCTCTCTACACTCAATTTTAAAAAGAGAAAAAGATTTGAGTGTTGAGAGAAAAATAACACTTAAGCAGCCAAGGGGCTTCATCCAATTTGCCCGAATGGCTTTCTCTTGTGTTATTCTTTTGTGCATTTTCTCCAGTACCCTTTTCCTCCTTTTATCTTTCTTTCCTTTTTCTTTCCTTTTCTTTCTTCCTTTCCCTTTCTATCTCTTTCTGTCATGTCCTCTGCTTTGCCCGAAAGGGCTATCTCTATATATATCTATATATTATATTATACAAAAAGAGGCTGGTGGGTATATATATATATATATATATATATATTGAAAGAAAAGACAAAAATAATAATAATAATTGTTAAATAAAAACTGGGCAGTTTGCCCGATGCACTTTTCTTTTAAATTTGCCCACTTGGTTCTTTCTTTTACTTTGGTCTGTGTTGCCCTAGAGGGCTTTGTCCCTTTTTTGTTTCTCTTGCTTTGGTTGCCTGGCAGTCTTTCCTTTTATTTGTCCTTTCACTGTTTCCAGCCAACCCAACAGGGCCTTTAATTTCCTTTTTCTGTTTGCCCGAAAAGGCTCTGTTTTCTTTGTGTGTTTCTTGTGCTGTTACAAAGAAAAAGATATAAAAATTAAAAATTCCAAAAATCACAAAAACATTTTGCTTTCATGCTTTTGTTTTTCTTTTTTCTTGCTTTCTTTCCCTCTTTGTTTTCTTGCTGGGGAACTTTACAGAAAATATCAAAGAGTTAGGCAGCTTGTGAGTAGCCATTTTTACCCTTCCTTCGACTTTTCTCATATCCAATGGGTGTATTTAGCCCGAACCCAAAAGTTGAAATTAGAAAACCATCCAGTGGCTGTACCCAAATTCATGGAATGATAAGTTTCATAAAAAGCCGAAACTATGGCTTTCTTGCTGAAAAGCATGTCATCTGTGTCTCAAAGGCTATTGCAAGAAGAGCATAGGGTTATCTTGCCCGACTGGTGGTGCCCGATAGAACCATAACCATGCCTGACGGGAATGACGTCTTCCCTGCTCACCACCAACAGACTCTACATGTTTCCCTAACTCTCACTAGCTCCTACAACCAAGGGTCGGGCTACTTCGGCGACTACCATTGACGGCTACTTCAAGAGCTTCTGATTTGGTTACTATTTATTATTGGGGACCAGCTTTCATAAGTGAGAAAATAGAACAATAGAGCTGCATTTAAATATGAACTACGAAAGGTTGAGAAAGATAGCAGAAAATTGATGTTGTTATTGCCCGAATGAGCTATAATCTTGCCCGATGATGCTCGTGCCATAGCTGCGCCTGAAGGAGATGCTGGAAATTGCACCGACTCTTTCAACAAACCTGTCAATGGCTTCCTAACCCAAAAACTCCTTAAATGGTGGACAGAACAAGCTACTATGAAAAACAAGTCAACCAACAACATTGTAGCTCACAGCTGCTTATCGTTACCTACCAACATACAGCCAACATAGTAGCTGCAGCTTCAAGGCCAGCCACTACACTTCAGCCTTCATCTTCAAACTCACCACTGGTTGGGGGAAGTGGGCAAAAATTTGCTTTTGCAGGTCACCCGAATGCCTGATGAGGCTTTGTTTGTCCAGTTATACAGAACACAACAAGAAGTGCATTGATTTCAACATGCGTGGTCTTCGAGCCGATCCTTAACCGCATCATTTTCCCAGCAGATTAGTGTTGGAACCCCGGTCAGCTTAAACTTTGAGTCTACTCTCCATGGGTGATGTGCAGTCCTCCATGTTGGCCCATCTTTGACATATGTTCTCAAAAGTGCAACATCATCTGGTATAGCTTCTAGCTTTTTTATAGATTACAGATTCAGATCTCACACAATCAGGGCACTAACTGAGAGAGGGAGAAAGGTCCTCGTCAGCCAAGAGGATGAGGAAATTAACTTTGTTGTTTGGAGCTGCTGCTTTGAGAGGCATCTTTTCACTTCGCCTAATTCCAAAGAGGCAAAGTTTGGGAAAGAAGAAGGATTGTTCTCTCTCTTTTTCTTTTTCTGTCTCTCTCTCTCCCCTTTTTCTTTTCCTTTTGTCTCAGTCCCCTTCTTGCCCGAAAGGGCACTTCTTTCTTTTTTTTTTTTTTTTTCTTTCTCTCTCTCTCACTCTTTCCTTTTCTTTTTCCTTCTTTTCCTTCCTTTCTCTTTCTCCTTGTCTCTGTCAATGTCTCCCTGTTTTCTTTACTTTGCCCGTTGGGCTTGGTATATTTTATATATATATATATATATATATATATATATATATATATAATATAAGAAGAAGAAAAGAATCTGAGTGCTTTTGCCCGAAAGGGCTAGATATATATATATATATATATATTATATTTATATTATATTACATTACATATGAAAAGAGGCAAAAAGAAAAAGACAAAAAATAAATAGTTGCCCAAGTTTATTTATGTTTTATCCTTGTTCTCCAGTTTGCCCGACTTCGGGCATTTGTCCAGTTTATTATCTATGTAATCAGTGAGGTTGCTCCCATGTTTTTTGGTATCAACAAGAAGGATGCACAAGTCAGACAACATTCTTTCCAATGCTAGTTGCACTACCAATTACCTTGCTCATCTTGCTAAGTTTCTCAACGACGAAAGGACTGAAGAGGTAGACGTGCCTCTTCCTTCGACATCAATCCTGGCAGCATTGGGGTTGTAAGTTTCACAAACTTTGCTCAAATTTGTAAAACTTGGGGGCACTGTTTGCACTCAAAATATACCCATTTTTACTTATTTGGGCAATTCGGGTAAAATATGGCATTTGGAGGATTAATATGCAAGAAAGCTAACTTGGAAAGATATTTAGATGCAAGTGGAGGGGTTGGACACTATAATATTGTTCTTCCAATTTGTTTTGGTGGTGGAGATTTGTCAAGCATTGTTTAATCAAGATACATGCATGTTTGGCAAGTAGATGGAAAGGCATCAGCAAGCTTTCGGGCAAGGAACATGTGAAAGAAGCAAACTTGCTTCTTTTAAATGTTAGTTTATTACAAGTGGGAAAACATGTGCTAAAAACATGTGGTGGAGATGCAAATCCCTTTTTAATATTGTTTCTACATGCAAGTTGGCAAAAGGAAATGCAAGCTGCCCAAGCTTCTTTCGGGCAGGTACAAAACCTCAGCAGGAGGGTTTCCTCCAGACCTCTATAAAAAGGAGCAGATGCACAAGGATTATAGACACTAAAAACAACCAATCAAAACTCTACTCAAATTAGCTCATCAGCTTCCTTGTAGACATTTATTTTTAGCCAAGCATCCTTTGCTTTTCTTGTTTATTAGCTCTGCTACTCACTTGTAGTATCGATCGGATTTGTAGCTTTTATGTACAACCCTCTTTCAGTCATTTAATCTACAAACAATCTGCAATATATTAGTCACTTTCCTCTGTCATTTATATTTCCAAGCAACCTTGTCATTTACATATTGTTCTATCTCTCCATATAAGTAAAGTCCTTATTTTTAAGGCAAACAAAGAACCTTAATTTGAGTAACTCCCACTCAATGGCACAATCTCTTGGTTCAAGGTCAAATTCAGGCGCAACCTCAATCATTCAAATTCCGTCTACTAGCGGCATTTAGTAGTGGCGCGCCCACACCCACCAATCTCGTATGTGAGCAAATCCCCGGCTTGCCCGCAAGGCGCCATGGCGGATTTAGGGAGCAAACACTATCCTTGATGATAAATATCCCTCCTCTTCCTCTTTGTTGGATTCATGACATGGTCGTAGATGTGGCGGTCCAAATTATGTTTGTTTGGGTCTTGAACAGTGATCATCTAACGAGTCAGTTAAAAGCGGCGATACCAAACATTAAACTCAGATTTTTACTCCTGCCCAATGCTTAGAGTCTCATCCATGGCTGACATCATGTACATATATGATTCCGACATTAAGTACCCAATTAAATAACATTGAATCTGAGGATTCTGTACCAAAACTTCATTCCACAGACGGCACCAACCATTCTAGCTGTCTGGTTCGCTGAACTTGGCCGACAAATGTACCCGGAAAAGGGAAACATTAAACATGAAACCGGAGGCAAAGAGAGGGACAGGGGGAGGGAAGGATTGAGTTTGATCCAACAAATACCTTATTGCCTGTTTCCAAACTGGGAGACCCTTGAAAGGACACGCAGAGCAACGAAAAGCATCCTCTTGTTTACACTGCAGACTGCAGATTATGACTTTCAGGGAAATAGAAAGAGCAAACAGAAGGGAAGGAATAACGGAAGACGTCCTTAAAAAGAAGATTTATCAGAAATAACAGTGCATACTCTGTCAAAGTCACAATGCCTCTCGAAATCGGTGAAATCAACAGCACAGCCTGCCTGCAAACGAGAAACATTTACCATGAGAAGCGGCAGAGAGACAGTGGGAGAAAATGATTGATTTGAATCCAACCATACCTTCTCGTCTAGTATGAAAGGAGGAATACCCTTAACAGGACATGCAGAGCATCGAAAAGCATCCCCGAGTCCACACTGCAGATTGTACAGATTAAACAAAAGAACAGATATACTTAAAATGCACTGCCACATTGCGACCTGCAAATGTTCAAATCTAGTGGGGTGGGAGACTACCATCTCTACTTTCTTGCAAGGTGGTTTACTTGGGATTGTAACTGCAACAGCTGCAAAAGCACATTACTCAGTACAGAGCGAAAATCGCACTTGACTCCACTTTTTGACAAACTCTGGAAAAAATTCACAAAAAAAGAGAAAAAAGAAAAATAATTTGTGAACCACGATTCCTTACGTAGATCCGGTCTCTTCCTATCCTCCTCTGTCAACAAACTATCCTCATCAATCAGACCATCATCTTCTAACTCAATTTTTGGCAAATCCACCTACATAAAGAGAAGAGACCAAATTAAAACGAAATTGACTAATTAGCAGCTACCACGATTGGACATGTTCAACAAATCCATGATCAACTCTAACGCACAAATTAATTCAAGCATTATCTCTAAGAATCAAACTCAAATTCGTGGTAGATGAAATTGCAATCAATCGAACACAGCCGTCGTAGTTCTACGAACTTGCAAGAATCAAAGATCTCAAGCAAAGATCTCAAGACCGGCGGAAAACATCGGTGATACTAGAGTAATTATATTATAGAATGCAAGATAAGAACAGAGAAGAGCAAAACCCTAACCAAACTTCGAAGATTACCGCAATCGGTGCGACCAGAGTGCGACACTACAACTCAAAAATAATACAATGCAGCATCATATTTCAGCAACGAAACGCAAATGTCAGCCATGAATCAACACCAGCAGCACACGTTCAAAGCAAAGATCAATTTCAGTGACAAATCAATTCAAGATCGCAAGTACAGAAACTCAAATTTCATTGACAATTTCAGCGACAAATCAACTCAAGATCGCAAGAACCGAAACGCAATTTCAGCGGCAAATATCGAAAAGGAAAGATCAAAGAGAAAAGAAAGAAAACGAAGCTGGACTCACAGGTTTGATCGAAGCCGGATTCGCCATGACTTCAAGCTCTCTTCTCCAAGCTACTTTTTATCGTGAATTTATTTTCCGATTCCGACTCTCTGATTTGTGAATTTCGGTGTGTGCTTCTGCTTTTGTTATTACTTGGCGGCTTGGCGCCCAATTATTTATTTATGCTTTTTTAAAATGTACTGCACGAAAAAATCAAAAAAAAATCAAAAAATCAAAAACAAAGAAAAAATAAAAAAGAAATTTCCAAATGTTTTCAATTAACAAAGAACGTGTAAGATTCAGATGACAACTTATTAGTGATTAATTCTTTATAATATTACACACGCTATTTTTAGCCACTTATAAGTTTCTGTTCTTCGCATTGGAAAACCTGGTAGGAAGTCAGAACAAGTAGCCTGAGCCCTAGCCCATCCTTACTAAGAGTTTGAATTGCTCCGTAGGAGGATAGTAGGGCGAATGAATCATATGTTCCTGTACAAATTTTGATTAAGATGCTTTGATCAATTGTTAACTCAACGTTTTTCTATTTATTTAACATATCAAATTCATCTTTGACGAAAATTGAACATAAGATATTTTACTTACAAATAAAAATGAATACGACTAAACCGTATGACTTAGTAGAATTTCGTGGCTTTATTAAAATTATTAATTTGGCTTTATTAAAAATATTATTTAACTAATTCCTCATTATCTCTAAAAAAATGAGTAATGAAGTCATTAATGCTTTCATAAGAAAATTCATTAGTGTGTTAAAATTTTATGTATCGTTATACAAAAAAATCTGTTTAAAACTTGTGGTACAGTTGAAAATAAACATACCGATCATTTTGTTACGTTCATAATCTAATGTACCAATAAACAAAATATGCTAGAAATCCAAATGTATCGTAAAATCAAATATACGCATATTAAACGTACAAATATAATTAAACGTACCTTCAATAAAGTTATAGAAGATATAAAATGTTTAATCAAATTCTTAAAAGGAATAGATGTTTAATCAACGAAATGAAAAACGAAGCATCTACATCAAAATGCTCCCATTTTAAAGAAACACGCCCCAAAATAGTAATAACTGTCAATGAGTAAAAAGATATGCAATATTACAAATGAAATTTTAAAATGAACTAAAATATTTCTCTAAAGTTGTTTGGGACAATACTTTAGTTTTTAAAGTTGATGTCACGTCTTGGAGCTTTCAGGTACGTATACTTTATCAACATTGACACCTTTCTGTTGAAGCTAAAATGTTTCTAACTTCTCAAGTAAGCTTACAACTTCATGCATCAAATTTTTGTTATTTCCATATTGTAATCCTCACGAATCCTATTTAAGAATTATAACATTCAGTAAAGATAAAAGAGTCTATAAATAATATTTTTAACTACACCTTTTCTATGAGTTATAAAATTGGTTTCGACCCAATTTTAACTACTTTAGAAATTTTACTGTAGCTAATTTATAATAATGGCGAACAAGAATGTTGATACGGCTCACCTTAAGTTACAATAATGTGTTAGTAAAAGGTAACATCGCCACATAACGTTCCATGTGTATTTGAGAAATTACTCCGGTTTTGCCAGCTGCCTATGTGGGTACGTTATGTATTTTCTTTATTTTACAATTTTTTTCCTTAGTATATAAAATTTTGCACTTAAAATTTTATTCTTTCTATTTTTATTTTTATTTTGACAAACCTTTAGAATTTAGTTAAGGAAGAGCATTTTATGGGTTTTAGAAAACTCATCCAGGAGACAAGTATTAGTGTAAGATAACAATGTATATGCGTGTGGAATTTAATATTTTGTGGCAGACTTATTGTATGAACTAATTTAATCTCCTGTCATTTCTTTATAGTGGAAATTATTTTGATAATTTTAAAGTTTAATTAAGATTTATCACAAAGCCATATTAATATATACAATATATTCTATATTAAATATATAGTTTTGTATTATTATTCTATATAAGTTATATAAAAAAAAAAGTTTTAGTCATTATTTATTTTTATTATGAGAGTTCCTTATTATCATTACTAGGATAAATTTTACTTAACATGTTGTTGTCCAAAATTAAAATAAACTAGTATAGTATTTGTATAGGCAAGAATTAAGAAGACATACATACAAGTATGAAAAATGTGAAAGAATATATAAACACTCGTGATTCATCATTATTCCTCCACGAGTAGATAATGGTTACACTTACATTATCGTTTAGATTTTTAAAATCCTCCAAACCCTCATTAATAATGTTTTTATTTGAGGGAAAAATTAATAATAATTATTGTAGAAATGTAAAAAATGTAAAAAAAAATATATATATACAATCACTCATAGTGACAAGCTTTACAACTTTCATGAAGGGGTCAACTTCGAAATCCAACACTATAATCCATAAACCTTAAATTTATATTTAACCGTCGATTGTCATTTACGCTTTATTCTTCTTACTGAATTTCATTTTTTAAATTTTCTTTTTTGAAAACATGATCATCGGGCGGATGTAAGAAGATGAACGGTTCAAATCTTTAAATCACGATTCGATATTTACAGTTAACTGAAATATGAGTCGATGTCATATAGTTTGTAGAAACTTTATAAACATCAAGCAATATTTTCACTAACCATAAAACTCTGAACATAATATCAACGATCCAAACCGTTCATCTTCCTGCATCCTCTAATAAATGTTTACAAAAAAGAAAATCTGAAAAAACAAAATTTGATGAGAAAAATGAAATGCATATGTAAACAACAATCAACGGTTAAGTTTTGATCTATAATTTATATGATTATAGTGGCAAAATTCGAATTTAAGCTCTTCACAAAAGTTGTAAAGTTTGTCATTATGAGTGTTTATATTTTTTTTCTATATTTTTTTGCACTTCTACATTAATTAAAAAACTATTAAAGACTTTACTTAAATAATAGCCGTAAGATAAATGAGAGTAAATCTGTATTGTTGGATTCTATTTCACTTATATTATTAGAACTTTTTTGGACGAAAAAAAACCCTTCTCCATTCCATTATTTTCCAATTTTACCATTTGATCAAAACAAAAGCCCTAATCCCATTCTCTCTCCCCACTCCCGTAACCCTCTTTCCCGGTCTCGCCGTCTGTTTTTCCTAACCCTTCTCTCCCGCCGTATGTTTCAGTTCTTCTAGTAGCCTCTCTCAGTCTCTCTTTTCTCCTACTTCGTGCAGTGGACAAGGCTCTTGCTGTAGTTGAAGCATTGGAAGGAAAGGTCAGTTCTTATTTGGTTGAAACACGTTGATTTTTTGTTTCTTGGACCTATCTGGATCGATTAGTTACAAATCTTGTGCTGATTTTTCAGTTTAATGTTGGGTATTTAACTATTTATTTCTATGTTATTGATAGATATTCCTTTATATAGTGATTTTCATTTTTCTTAACTATGAATTTAGTGGATTAAGTACTTTGTTTCTAATTTCTAAACTCTTCTGGTTTTGCAGAGTTTGCCTTCATTTTATTATTATTTTGTATGTAAGTTAAGCACGCAACACCAGTTCAGTTTATAGATTGATATCTTAGCATCTGTTTCCATTTCTTTGTATGCAATGTTCAAGGAAGAGCTGATTATTTTTATCTCCAAAGGTTACCCATCATTAAATGAGGCAGTTGAAAGCTTGGAATGTTTATTTTTTGCGGAAAGTTTTTGTTTAGCTGTAGTTATTATAATTCGTATATTTTCTTGTCTTTCCTGATACATTTTATATACTTTTGGATGTGACAATATGGTATGTATATATTTATTTAGTATTATGTTTTTCATTTGATTATTTATTGGTTTAAAATATATTTTTCTTAACGGGTAATGGGTCGGGTCATATTACTTGTTAATATTATCGAGTTGATTTTGGGTCGGGTCATTTTACTTGTTTATTTTAAAGGGTGTTACATGACACAACCCGTTAAAATATCGGGTATGACACGAAAATGACACGAACACAGAAAACACGACATGAATGCCAGATCTAAATAAGAATGAGAGTGTAAATTGGGCCCATCAATTTTTTCAACTTACAAACATATTCTTGTTTAGAGGAATGTGATTGGATAAATAAGTCATACAATGATCACTACGCTCAAAAGTATATTGTCCTTGCTATTTATAAGATATCTCAGTTACGAATAAAAAAAATATCATTAAACCTTAGTATGTACTTTTTAATTTACCATTGTATTGGTAAAACTAATATTCAGCTTTAATCCATGCATTTGATTAACTTTTTTTTTTCTTTAGAGAAAACATTTTCGTGTTTATTTAACCATCTAATACAATTTAAGATGATTGTAATCTTTTGATTCAACATGGTTCATTCAATCAGTTGTAGCAAGCGAATTTTTCATAGTTTAGCACTCATATTATAAATAAATTAAAATTAGAGTCATTTAGTCAATCAACTGTAACAAATAAATGTACGACTCATAATAAATCATGTTAATCATAAGGATTAAGTTAACTTTTAACCAAAAAATGAAAATCACAACTTTATTCAATAGTTGTAAGGAAAATATGATCCTATAGTACTACTCCTGCCAGCGGATGGCAAATTCAAAGCTAGTGACAGTGGCAGCGATGCTCAACTAACTCCATGCTTCGACATGGTATTTGCCAGCATCTTGTATATCTTTAAGACATCTTACTGCTGATTCCTGTGGAAGCCCACTCTCTTTAGCAATAATTTCCTCGAATGTAGATAATACATCTGCCGGCATTTTTGTAGCCGAACCGGCAACGTAGATAGCAGCTCCTCCATGCCTCAACAAATCATACACCCTTTTGCTATGTTCCCGCATCCTATGTTGCACATAGACCTTGTTATGTGACTGGTCGTCCCTTGAGAAGGCAACATAAAACCCTCCACCCTTTGCTTCCGAAAGAATCCCACCATTTTCGGAATGAGATAACCAAAAGTCTTTGTATAAAAAATCCTTGTCTTTGTTTCTGCAGCCAAGGAAGAACATCACTGGAGCAGTTCTTGTACTATTCAAACTTTGTATGGCCCTTTCTTCCACAAATCCACGAAAAGGTGCACACCCGGTTCCAGGTCCGATGAGAATGAGAGGAAGAGATGGCGGTGGGGGAGGAAGGGAACCTTTTCGAAACCACACTGGTACATAAACTTCTTGTTTGGCATCAAGCTTTGCTAGCCAGTTTGAGCAGAGACCTGCTCGATTGCGTCCAAGGGGTGATCTCCATGACGCGACAGTCACTGTTAAGTGAACTTGATTCGGGTGAGCTGAAGGGGACGAAGAGATGGAGAAAGCTCTTGGTTTCAAAGGAGGAACCACCTGCACCAGCCATTCAAAGGGGATTTGAACGGAGGGAAACTTCTTCAATACATCGTTTACTGTCATCCGTTCCTTATGAATGTATTTGTGCAGAACGGTTCTCCCTTCAGGTGACACTAAATGTTCAAGTATTCCCTTTTCATGTTCATCTGTTGCAAACATATGCATTACCTCAAAGAAATAGGGTCGAGGAGAAGCAGATGCAACATCCATTGTCAATTCAACAAAGGCTTTCAATTTGATGGCGGCAATACTACAAGCACCAGGAAGCTGGTTCTCCGCGTCCAAAGGATGGACGCTGATGAATGATTCAGGGTCCACATTACAACGAAGCATGAAATCATCTATTGCAGCAGGGTTTTGACAGGGAACAACCTCAAGGAGGTCACCGACATCGTATTCAATAGCAGGGGAAACAAATTCAAATTCCAAGTGATGCACCTCTTTATCATCTTTACTGCCAGATGATTTAGTAAGTCGTTCATTTTTCACCAATTTGAGAAAGCAGTCGGGCTTATTCTCGTCATGAGATGAGAACTTTCCTGGAGACATTTTGCGAGCCCTTTCAATGTGCAACAACGCGGCCTGATGATTCAAGTCTGAAGTGGCGGAGAGTTGTGAATCCAATTTGTCGATTTCATGATACAGAATCCGAATTTTCGGTTGAGCCTCCTTAACCTTGTCATCTGGTATAAAAAATTCTGGGCCATTTGGGAAGTAGTAGTTGGGATGGATTTCATTCAACATATTCCACAAAGATGTCATCCAAGGATCCAAAACAGCTTCGTACCCTGATGGGTGCTGTTCATCTCCTAAACCTCTTTCGACGATAGGGGTTCCCCCAAGCTGCAAAAGTCTTCTGTCAAGCCTCTTTGCAACATAATTAAACTTCTGGTAACCGGAATCACCCAACCCGAAAACAGCATAATGAAGTCCTTGAAGCCATTGCCCACTTAGGTTTCTCCGCAGAAGAAAATTCCAAAATCCGTTCATGGAATCAGGAGTAACCCCCTGGCCTGTGGTTGAAACGACAAAAATTACTACAGTTCTGCTGCCCTCCTCTTGAGCTAAGCAACCAGCGTCGTATCGGTCCACGGAAAGGAGGTGGACCGGACAGCAGCCTCTGCGCTCGGCTTCACGACCCACCCGCTCAGCGGCCTCTACAGCGTTTCCGGTTTGAGTTGCGTAGAGTATGAGCAGTTTCTTCGGTGTCTCCTCCATGCCTAATGAGATAGGGCCGGCTGGAATTCGATGAGTACGTACGTGGATGAAGGTAGCTGCTGCGCAGAAGGGTAATATTTATGGGTGTATTTTTGCTCACCACCATTTAGAGTGGTGTATGCTCACCACCATATTTATCACCGTTAGATGAATTTGAATTTTAAGATTTGTGCTTATCCACTACACGAATCTCAAAATTCAAACTCATCTAACGGTAATTAATAAGATGGTAAGCATACACCATACTAAATGGTGGTGAGCAAAAATGCTCCCAATATTTATAGGGAAACCGCTAATTACAAGTTTCTTAGATTACCCCTCTGTTTTTCTTTAACGTGTTACACAAGGTTTCTTTGTTTCGTCTCCTTATATTGGTGGGATTCCAACTTTGACGCAAACTAGGTCAAGGTAAATCAATCTATTCCAAGAGAATATAATGACCTCAAGACTGACCTGAGCAAGATTTACTCAAATCCCTCTGAGCAAGTAGTATCCGCAACGCACCATGGAAGTTTTCGCAGTTCGGATTGGAGCACCATGGAAGTTTTCGCAGTTCGGATTGGGGTTCTGCTTTCAACGGACCCGTGTCCATAACCTCAGAATGTGGCTTCTGCTCCACTTGCAAAACCCGACACTTACAAACATTTGTGCCTATTCGACATGATGATTCATCTAAAACAAATGTCCAAGTCGGCATTTGTGCCTATCCGAGCAATTGTGGCATTTATGCAAAGAAAACAAACCACGCAAATAGGACCGCTGATTAGTGATATATTGTAGTTGAGCCTACAAGTTACCATAAAGCATTCACAAATTCAAGAGCCACGCAATTGGAAAAGTGTGCTTAACAATTTAAGCAAAATTATATTGAATATGTGTGCTGAACAAACATGTAAACAATTGTCAATACAAAGTAACTAATAATCTCAAACTTTCCTATTACAGAAGAGCAGTGTAAACAAGATCCGTCCAACTGGCTTCTAGTATAATTATTTTCAGAATTGAGCGATACCAAGTATAATTGTTTTTCGAATGGAGCGATACCAAGCGAATAATATCTTGTCCATACAAGCAAAGTCCGAATCAACTTACCTGGAAAACAAGAAAAGAAGAGCATTTAAATACTAAGTTGCAAATAATTTTAAGCTCTAAATATGCATTTCATGCCAGTTTTGCGGCTAGGCACCCTTGGAACTAAAGGGCTAAAGGATTAAGCACATAAACAAAGCAATGCAACAAGACATATCAACCATCATCAGGGGTGTTCTCTGAAGCTCATCTATAAAAAACCCAGGTTCGGCATGTACTGAGATATGATGTCACAATTTCTATAGGAGATTACATATAATTACATAGTGTATTGTCATAACTTCCTTTCATAAAGACTGCTCTCCCATGTACACTTCTGTTTCCAACTTCCTCAAGACTCTAACAATCTCCTTTGAGACTTATTTCGTCATGAATAACACCAAAACCGACAAAGTTTGCACTTGAAATTTTAACAGCACAACGAAGCCACACAAATCCAAGCTCAGTCCATGACTCTATAGCTACAACCAAATGACAGAAGCCTACAACCCCTGTTCCCTTTCCTCTATTCAACAATCAACAAGAATACTCCTTCCCTAATGTACTCAATCACTGCTCAATCAACTATTCAATCAAAAAAGCAACACTAAACTACGATAAAGTATTGACATTCCATTGGACAATCAAAAAGCAACACTAAACTACGATAAAGTATTGACATTCCATTCGATCATAGCTCACCGAAACATATACCAAACGAACATGAGTAGCATCTCAAGTATAACTTCAACAGCTCAATGCAGGAATAAAAAAACAAATAGAAATGTTTGCATCGCACGTACCCGAATGCGCTTTCATCAATCAGATACTCTTGGCAGCCAGTTTGCTCCTCGCCTCTCGCGCATTATCATACTCAAACTTCAACACATTGGGTATATGAGAAGTGTCCTTAATATAAAAATACCTCCCAAACCAGCTCTCTTCGATCATCGGAAAGCTCGGGTAAAGCACAGAATTCACAACCCAGAACCACACTGCCCCCAGAAAAACTCCGAGGGCCGAGCCAGCGAACACCTGAGCCACCGTGTGGTAACCCAAATAAACCCTCGAATACATGGTCAGCAAAGCCAAAACCCATGGCGGAAAAATCACAGCCCACTTGTTCGTCCTGTCCGAGAGCCCAATCCCTTTGTAAGTCAGGAGAGTAAAGTAGGTGGCGAAGAAGAACATGTACTGCGAGTGACTCGAGGGCCATCCGTGCGAGTCGCACATCTCGAGCAGGGCGCAGGTTTCCGGCCGAGCTTGCTGGAAGAAATCCTTGATGAGTTCGTTGATGACCTGGGAGATTAAGAGGCCGACGGCAAAGAACATGCCTTGGAGCTCACGGCGGAAGAAGAAGTGGCAGACGAAGCCGCCGAGGCTGATGAATACTGGGATTAGGGAAATCCAAGCGAGGAAGTGACCCAGTGGGTCGCCTCTCTGGTACCGGACGTGGGTCAGCGTCACGGCTTTGAGAGACGGCTCAGCCATGGCGGAGACGCCGGGAGAGGCAGAGGATTTCTGGGTTTTGGGTTCGCGATTGAATCCGAGGTTATGGGAGTTGGGATTGAGAAATGGCGGCTCGCCGGATCTGGGTTGGAGTGAATCTGAGCGGGAGATGTAGGGTGTTGAGAAATGGGATCGGAATTGAGTTGGGAAAGTGGGGATTGGAGAATTGTTGAAAAGGGAAGATGATTGGCTTTTGATTTGGATATGGTGTGCTTGTTTCTCCAGAAAGTTGAAGAAACCGTTGACGCTGAAAATTTTCTTTTATCTATGATTCAACATATAAAGGAGGACACATATTGGCGTAGCTTTCGGTATCCCAAAAGGAAAAGATCCGGCGAGTAATAGTAGCTAACGAAAACTAACCGCACAATATACGAAGAAAAACGAATAAAATCACAGAATTCCTATAAAAAAGATCAGGCGAGACAACACTTTCAGGCTTATCTAACCTGATTGTGGGGCATGGCACTGCTCTATATTGGCCAATGGTACTGATTTTACCATAAAGGGAAGCCTTAAACTCACTTCATTGTGGAAGAACACCTTTTTTAGTTTTAAGGATATTTGAGAGCACTATTACCATATTGAAACCAATGTAGAAAATGGAGTAAAATTCCTTTGTATTTCCTATGAATATAGCGAGAAACATATTCTAGAGAAGATGGAACATCCCAACGAGTGGATTACACCTATTTAGGCCCACTGTGTGGTTGGCCAGAAGCCCGAGATTCCAAAGGAATTTTCACTGTGAATGCATTTGGGATATCTAGGATGATCCGTAATGTGCCATTTTGGGCATCCACTTACCAGAAGTAAAGACATCATACCTGGAAACGTATTATATCTTAGCACTCTCCATATTTTCTACAAATATTCAAGGGGACATTTGTAGACTGATTCAACCACTCTATGGACCATTTAGATACTTTATGGTATTGGTTGATGCTACTACACGTTGGTCACACGTGTAATTATTGTCCACAAGCTGCCTTCTCCACACTAGTGTCTCAGATTAATAAGCTCAGGACTCACCACCCTGATTATCTGATCAAATCTATTCAATTGGATAAGTTGGAAAATTTACATCGAAAAATTTCGATAGATATTGCGTGTCGGTTGAGTTTTGAAGTTAAACATCTAGTATCCTTATGGCCATTTATACTTAGGGGTGATCGTGCTTGGTTAATCTGTGTTGGGTGATCACTGTCTAATAGTTCTGTATGTGTGACTCTGCTTGGTTTATCCGTGTTGGGAGGTCACTACCTACCTGATTATCTTGACCCTACTTGGCTAATCCACATTAGGGGGTCACTAGTGGTTTTGCTTTGTTAATCCTCGCTGGAAGACCATGCTATATATGGATCGATCGCGGGGATCAGTGAATTATTTTAAATATTTTTATTTAAAAATAAACATAAACAGTACTTGAAAAAAACTGACCGTACGATGTACGACGAACGAACACGATTCACAGATTCCTAGGATCCTTACCAAAAGGATCCGAAGAGGATCTTGTTGGCTAATATTATATCATTCAATTCATATTTTATTAATATTTTATTCTAATTCTAGAAACCTCTCTGTTTCCTCATTTTTCTCAGTCCCCCCTCTTCCTCTTTCTCTACCGTCTCCATCTCTGCCTCCTATCTCAAGTCACAAAAAATGAAGAAACTTGCTCTAATTCTCCTACACTTGAGTTTCAAGAATGACCTAAAGTCTTAAGCGATTTTGTTTTTTTTTTTTTTGTCAATTCACCGTTATCTTCCCGAGCCCCAAATTTGGCCAACCCAGACTCTTCTTGGAGCTGGAGCCCCGTGATTTGAGACATGTTAGGGGAGTTGGTGTGTTGAGTCGACGATTCAACGGCAGAATGTGTGAAAGTCCATGCTTTCCCAATGTATGTGCGGTAGGCGCGTGGTGATTCAAAGGCAGAGTCATCGAGCTTCTTTTTGGGAAAATCAAACCCATTTTTCGGTGGAGTTGGCGAAGGGAAGCAAACAAGCGACAAAGGAACGAAACAAGTCTTAGCTAGTCTCATGATTTTCCAGGAGTCTAGATAAGAACCTATAGTGACGCTGCTAGTACTGGCGAGTCCATGCTAATCTCATTAATCTTAGCTCGCATGATAACAAACACTGGACTCGACTAAAAGTTAGTCCAGTCTAGTCCAGTGAAACCTAGTGAAGCAAAACAAACGGGCCCTTAGTGTCCTACTAATGTTGGCCTTTATCATATTACTAAAAGTAATTGAAAAGAATCAAACAAATATTAATTCTTTCCCCAAGATAATCCACTAAAAAGAGGGTCCACATCATAGTTTTTTTTTCTAATGCAATAAAGTTACATTGTGTCTATTTTTCAATGATAAAGGGGTATTTCCATAGGTTTGCCTTAACACACAAGCTTATGACTCGTTTGGATATGATTTTAAAATAGCTAAAAACACTTTTATAGAAAATGTTTTTGTATTCCAAAAGCACTTTAAGTGTTTTTTACAAGAAGCACCAGTTATGTGCTTCTTCCAAGAAGCATTTTAAGTGCTTTTTCAGAATTCACTTGCATTTTTATTAAAGATTGATTACAAAAACAATTTCACCAAAAAAACTTTCAATTGTTTTAAAAGCTCGGGCTCTTAATTAACAATGGATTCAATGTCGGAAACCGACTAAAAGGGGATATGTATTTTTACACGAGCAACAACAAATTACGATGCTCTAAGCGTAACTCCACCGGTTTGTCAAAAGGCAGGGCAAGGGCGCGGCCCAATTGCCTAAAACCCACAAGCGTTTCGGCAACGTCATCACCTCCTAAATACAATTCAAAACCCTCCTTTAGTAATTCGTACATTTCTCTGCTCCTAGGCTTTAAAGCTAGTTTCGGAACTCTCTATCTCTCTCTAATGGCGGATGAGAGTATGGCTTCCCATAGAAGAGACCCGATCAAGTCCTCGGGTAAGTTCTTCAACGCTATTGGGTTGCTCATAAATTAAGGAAATAGATTGGAAAATCAAACTTTCATGGAATTTATTTTGAATTCTGTATTGGGTCTCTGTGGTTTGTGGATTCGGTTCAATTCAGTGTTTGATTCTTTAATTTTCCCACCTTTTTTTCTCGGCATCCAAACGGAAAATCAAGCAATTAAATGTTAAGGAAGAACAAAGAGGGGATTAGTTGAATTGGGTTCTGTTCTTTGAGGTCCTAAACCTCTTAACAATTAATTAGATACATAAGTTTTGAACTTTTTATCATTGGTCTTGCGAGTGAGCGGACTACTTGTAATTTTTGTTAATTTTGTTGGAGCTGTATTTAGTTGTTCTGTGATTGTGTGGAAAATTAGTTGCCAATGTTGCGGGACAGCGAAGGCGGCAGCAAGCAGTTTCTGTAGGAAAGGAAAGAAGAGAGTTGCTGGTGCGTGCGAAGCGCTTGTGCAGAGTGGGGATTAGCGGAGATAGTGATGATAAGGTTGAGAGTGAAATGATCATTGATGAAGAGCAATCCATCTTGGAGGCTCAAACTTCTTCAGCAGTGGAAGGGTTGAAGTCTGCGGTTGCATATCAGTATGTGAATTTAATTTGTCTGCATTAATACTGAGAGAATTTTAGAGGAACATTAGGCTCAATTTTGTGAAAACATGAAACACTTCATCGAAAGATATGAAACATGAAACTGTTCAATGGTCTCTTCAAAGCAACCCCATTAAACACCATTGTCGTTGTGTACTTTGTAGGGGAAAAGGTGCATTGGAAAAGAGGGTGAGTGCCCTTCGTGAACTCAGGCGCTTACTGTCAAGATCAGAATTCCCTCCTGTTGAAGCTGCCCTTAAAGCTGGAGTAATACCTTTATTAGTGCAATGTCTTTCATTTGGCTCTCCAGACGAGCAGGTTCAACCAACTTTTCGTATAATATGGTTTCATTTGGTATTATTCTAATTTGTATATTCAGCATAGACTTGATAAGTAGTGCTTTTATGGAACTTTATTTCAAGCATAGACTTGATAAGTAGTGCTTATATGGAACTTTATTTCAAGGAAAAAGGGGAAAGGAGGAACTTTTATGTTATTTGCTGTTAGGTTCCATAGTAATTAGCAGCTTTCAGAACTTCTGGTTTCTAAAAACCCATCAGACACACCTATGGAGTTTGGGCACTAAAGTATCATACGCCAGTGAATGTTTTCAGAAATCATTTGGAATTAAGAAACTTCTTGAGTACGAATTAAGGATATATTCTGCCTCTTTCACCTTTTTTTTTATTTTTTTTATTTTTTAATATAATGCAGTTGCTTGAGGCGGCTTGGTGCCTCACGAACATAGCAGCGGGGAAACCTGAGGAAACAAAAGCTTTGTTGCCCGCTTTACCGTTGCTTATTGCTCATCTTGGAGGTTAGTAATGTCTTGTGTGCTCCTTTTAGATCGCAATAGCAATTACTTTCTCCTGTTTAATTTTCTTTATCTTCGCTGATACTTTTGGCTCTATACTTTGCATATGTAATGTGATATTGGTGTCGGTAGTGCTTGTAAGGTACCACCTAACCTTTTGAAGTACCACTTCAAAGTGAGATCATGGCATGCAATACTTAGTGCAGAATTTTAAGCTGTCTGATCAGATGGCCCTTTTGATATAGTTGCACGTCTTTTGCAGAAAAAAGTTCCCTGCCTGTTGCTGAGCAATGTGCGTGGGCATTGGGAAACGTTGCTGGTGAAGGGGAAGAGCTGAGAAGTATTTTGCTATCTCAAGGTGCATTACTACCTCTTGCAAGAATGATGCTTCCAAACAAGGGTTCAACTGTGCGAACAGCTGCTTGGGCACTATCAAACCTAATCAAGGTGCTAAAATATTCACCTCATGAACAATTTTGTAGCACCATGCCATTTTCTTCACAATTCGAGCTCTTTTTGGACTTCTGTGGCCTCTTTGCCCCATTTCTGAGTAACCATTCTTACCTGGAAATTAGTGTGACATTCAGCGCCCCTTGCTTTTGCACCATTATTGTGTGTTTCTTTTCGTTTTTCACTTTGTTTTCTTTTGGTTCTTGGCAACATACCACCATCAATGTGGACTTACACATCATCTTTGAGAAGAACTTATAACATAACCTCGGTTGCTAAATATGCAGGGACCTAATCCAAAGGCCACAACGGAGCTCATTAGAGTTGATGGGGTATTGGATGCACTTATTCGACACTTGAGAAAATCGTAAGTTGTGGTTCATCAATCTAAGTAGATTGCATTTACACCATAGTTAATTCTGGTCATCATGATTTCTTGTCATTAAAATTTTGGACTGCCTTTCCTTATGATGATAGTATACCATAAACTTTTTCTTGAATTCAGAGATGATGAGTTAGCAACTGAAGTAGCATGGGTGGTTGTGTATCTCTCAGCCCTTTCAAATCTTGCCACCGGTATGCTAGTGAAGAGTGATGTCCTTCAACTGCTCGTGGAGAGATTGGCAACATCCAATAGTTTGCAGTTGCTTATTCCGGTAAGGTGGAATTTAAATGTATACATAAGCTCTTTATTGACCTTCTCTTTCTTTCAATAATGGCTCATTGAGCAACTATACGTATCAAATTGAAGGTTATAACAATTTACCTTTTTGATTGTTTTATTTGATTAATGGCTGTACTAGTTCAAGTTATCATTCGCTATGCTTTATTTGTTATCTGTATGGATGTACTTGTTCCCACTGCAGAAACCTACCCTCTGGCTATTTCTCTTGAAATTTTGTACCACATGCGAGTTGTATGTCAAGTGCCAATATCCCCTACCCTGCCCTAACCCAAAAGAAAAACCAGATTCTATGTGTTTCTTGACCTATAAGATGCTTCTAGATTTATCCTGATGATGAAATCGAGGTGAACATCAAATACTACATGTTTGTATATGCCCTTCTATCTTTCTTATTGTGAGATTGACAAGGGAATTTAGAGAAGTATGACACGGTTCCATTGTTGAGCAAAAACTGTGATCTTTTAGTTCTCATGTATCATATCTTCAGAGTTCACGTGATATATGATGTACCATCTTAAGTTGATCCATTTATGAGGAGATGGCATTGTAAACGTTTTTTAGAGTACATGGATTTGAGATGAATATTTCTAGTATATGGATCGTACTGACAATTGGGTTCCATCTAGGTGCTAAGAAGTTTAGGTAACCTTATAGCTGGTGATTCACAGACAACACAAGCTCTTATCGTTCCTGGGCATGAAATCACAGGCTAGTCCATTACCCCTTTGATGGGAAACTGTAACTGTTCTGAACATGTATTTATAAGACAAGTTCATTTATATGTATAATGATGAAATTTTCAGGAAACATAATTGAAGTCCTGGTGAAGTGTTTGAATAGTGAGCACCGGGTCCTGAAGAAGGTATATAAGCTTGTCGTTAATGTTATGAGATAGATCTTTTACTCACCCATGCTTATTCAAAGTTCAACTTACATTAATGTAGGAAGCAGCTTGGGTGCTATCTAATATAGCAGCTGGTTCTGTAGAGCACAAGCAGTTAATATATTCAAGTGAGGCGGTGCTGGTGCTATTACGCCTTCTTTCCACAGCACCATTTGATATAAGAAAGGAAGTAGCATATGTACTAGGCAACCTCTGTGTTCTTCCTATTTCACCTACAGAACGTGATGGAAAACCGAACTTTATTCTGGAGCACTTGGTTTCACTTGTTGGTCGAGGATGCCTTGCTGGTTTCATTGATTTGGTGAACTCTGCTGATACTGAAGCTGCAAGACTCGGACTACAATTCACAGAGCTGGTAAGCAAACATCTACGAAATATTGGCTTCACACTGTATGTTTCACTTTTGGAGGAGTTTACAGAATATGGTTCAGAGTAACATTGGTTATGTGACTACTGAATGATTCATTAGGTACATTTGTTTTCATAAACTGATATGAAATGGTGTACCGTAAATGAAAGTTTGCCACTCCAGAGTGAGTAATGAAAATCCTTGACAACTTAACCACAATATAAATCCTCTATCTTAGAAAAGAAGACAAGTGGTGGTTCTTATATTGCTAGTTCATGCAGGTTTTGAGAGGGATGCCGAACGGTGAGGGCCCAAAGCTTGTTGAGAAAGAAAATGGGATCGAAGCGATGGAAAGATTTCAGTTTCATGAAAACGAGGACTTGCGAAATATGGCGAATAGTCTGGTGGATACGTACTTTGGGGAGGACTATGGGCTAGATGAATAGGCAGACTGTTGCATGGGGTTTCCAATGGTTCTTATCTTGCATCTTTCCATGCTTGTATGCCATGGATGATGAATTGTTGTAAGAGATGTAAAGTTTTGATGATCAAGTGGTTTCTCGTTTAATATGAGGAAAACGATTACAATTTATGATTTATCCTTTGATTTTAGAGATTCCAAATTTTCTCACACGATTGAAGAAATTCTTACAATTTTGTCCACAGAAATTCTTATTGCTCCCAAAGAAAATGATATTCGTACACATTTTTTCTCTTTTTACCCAATCTTCTTTGTTTAAAATGTTAAAAATTCAGGAATTACAAAAGAATGCTGTCTTTTGTATTCTCTAAGAAAAAAAAAATGTTGGCATCCAGACATAACTTAGTTCAAAAATTGTGTAAAAAAAAAAAATAGTATCACAAATCCATCCCTGCACACACATATACATACACATATTTAATTAATATATTATTTTAATTGTCATATACTTGCTTTCCCGTGTCCATGCAACATAACCGTTCCAACCAAAAAAATTAGAAATTCTGGTTTAAGTCGATAAATATTTTCATATTTCAACTTAATGATCATTTTATTTTCCAGAATAGACTAATTGAAATAATTATCCTCTTCAACTAAGGTTGTTTCCTTCAACTAAGGTTAATAAAACAGTTTTCTTTCCAACTAAAGTCAATACCCCTTCTTAATATATATATATATATATATATATATATCTTTATAGCTTGACTCAATTCTAATATTCAAATAAATTACTCCTGTTACTCAGTACTACCATATAATAGTATTCCTCTTTACTTGTGAGTAAGAGGTTTTAGGTTCGAATTTTATGGATGGCGAATTCGATAACAAATTAGATTACCCATTATGCAACTTAGCCAAACTTCCCGCTCCCCTTAGTGTAAAATATATCGCTGTACAAAAAAAAAAAAATTGAAATAAATTACCCCTAATTAAAATTACGTTAATGCAATTTAAAGTAAATTTATGGGCAGAGATATCATTTTCAAAACGTTAAAGGATGTCCGTGTAATTGACCAAAAACAGCGATTAATGTTAGCACTCGCGGGGAAGAGCAAAGCCGAGGGTTTAACGAGCGACTCATAAACCCACAAATTGTAACAGAGCTTTCGCTTCACCTTGGCCAATTCGCCGCCCTGTCACCCGCCTCCAATCATGGAAGAAGGCACTTCATTTTTGTTCGCCGGCGTCAACTTCAACCGGAAAAAGTTCTCCAGGGACTTCTCCAGATTCCAGGTCCGATTGTTTTTTCTCAGAAAAGCACATCACAGTGTCGATTTTTCTATTATTTTGTTGAATTAACTTTTCAAATTTGATTCAGAAGAAGAACATAGAGAGCGAGAAAGTGGTAGAAGATTCTAGCTTGTTCGGAATTACGGAATCTTCAACGGAGCAAGTGGCGGCGGAGGAGGAGGAGGTGCGAGCGGTGCCAGTTAAGAAGAGGAAGCGGAAGGGGGAGGTTTCTGGTAATTTCATTGCTTTCGGTGTTGAATTTGTATGCAGTTGAAACCCTGAGATTTATTTTTGCTAATGATTTGTTTGATTTTGTGATGGGATAGAGGGTGTGGAGGGGATTAGTGTCTTTAAGACCTCAAAAATGGCGAAGGCAGCGAAAGCGGAGAAACAGAAGCCTGGAAATGAACTATCCGAGCATAAGAAGGAGTTAAATAGGCAACTTGAGGTTTTGCTTCTGGTTCCTTCATCTTTTTTGTGTTTGTTAATTTCCTTGTGCTTAAATTAAAGTTCAAGGATTTATACTTTTCTTTGTGATTCAGCGGGATTCGCTGCTGCGAAAGAAGTATAACATTCATGTGTCCGGAAATAACATCCCTTCGCCACTTGATAGTTTTGCAGACTTAACCTCTAGGTATATTCCTTATTTTCTTTTTATTTTAGTGTTTCTTAGGCAGGATATCTATGAATGCTGAATAGATTTTCTAAGCTTTCTCGCTTATAAGCTTGATATTGCGTATGATAATATGATTGAAATGAGAGCTAATCTTTGGTTATTTTTAGATATGGGTGCGAGCCATATTTACTTCAGAATTTGGCGGAACTTGGATTTAAAGAACCAACGCCAATCCAAAGGCAGGCTATTCCAATCCTCTTATCTGTATGGTCTCTTACCTATGCTATCTGCTACTCTTGTAAAATTTACGTTGTTTTGTAAGAGATCACCTGGTTATTATAAGGCTTCAGTTTCAGCAGTACTTCAGCACGGGTTGACATTTGTTTGAAAGATGTTCTCATCGACTTTGTCATCGTTTTTATTTTAGAGTCGGGAATGCTTTGCTTGTGCTCCGACTGGATCTGGAAAAACCCTTGCTTTTGTTTGTCCCATGCTAATGAAACTTAAGGTATTGCTCATGCATTCAACTGTTTCTTTCTGCAAATGTTGATGGCTGAGCTTTTCTGATGAAAATTTTCCCATATAACCAGCATACATCTAAGGATGGCATCCGAGCTGTTATTCTGTGTCCTACACGAGAATTAGCTGCTCAGACAACCAGAGAGTGCAAAAAGATGGCAAAAGGAAATAAATTCTACATCAAATTAATGACTAAAGACCTGGCAAGAAATGCAGATTTTTCAAAAATACGCTGTGACATACTCATTTCTACTCCACTTCGGTTACGGTTGGCTATCCGGAAAAAGAAGGTTGATTTAAGCAGGTGTGTTCATCTTTTGTTCATAGAAACTCAAAGAGGCTGGTATAAACAAGAAATCAACATGTACAAATGAGATTTTGGGGCAAAATGATCATTTTTAAAATGGCTCAAGAAGTGAATTTGATGAATAACAAGACTAGTTAGTCTTTGAAGCACTACACAAATTTCAGATACATTGATTATGTTTCCTCTTAAATATTTTGTGTTGTACAGGGTTGAGTATCTGGTATTGGATGAGTCTGATAAGCTATTTGAGCTTGGCTTGTTAAAGCAGATTGACTCTGTGGTCAAAGCATGTTCAAACCCTTCAATTATTCGCTCCTTGTTTAGTGCTACTTTACCTGATTTCGTTGAGGAGCTTGCCCGCACTATAATGCATGATGCTGTTAGAGTTATCATTGGCAGGAAGTGAGTTTGACTTTATCTTGTTGAAAATCATGGAGTGGCTCCCTTGACTTGCATCAGTGGTTCCTTTGATTTGCATCTTTTCTTCATTTGTTTTCATACAGAAATACTGCTTCTGAGACTATCAAGCAAAAATTGGTCTTTGCTGGAAGTGAAGAGGGGAAGCTATTAGCACTTCGTCAAAGCTTTAAGGAGGTATGATAGAGGCAACATTTTTCTTTTAAGAACCTCTTCTAAATAACCGCTTCAGGATCCAGTTCAATGATGATATGAAATACAAGTCCTCATTGTGTATCAAATAGTATTCCAAGGGCACTTCATACAGTTTTGTACCTAGTTTTAATTGAATAAGGCTATTATCTAGTGTACGTCCTCGCAATTTTGAAAAGCTACAAGATCTAGATAATGACCAAACAAGGAATTTTGTGTAGAAGTTAACCAATGTTACTGAATAACCACCAATTATTAGATCATTTAATCCACGTACTTGACATATATCTTTTATCAGTTTAACATTCCAGACTTTCACCTGGATCAGTTTTATTTGCTGACCAATTTCTTGTTATTGTTTTATCTTGTTAGTAGAGTCTGAATCCACCAGTGTTGATCTTTGTACAAAGCAAGGCGAGCTAAGGAACTCTACGGAGAACTGTTGTTTGAGAACATAAGAGTTGGTGCCATACATTCTGATATGTCCCAAGCACAGGTAATTTATTCCCACCGTTATCAGAGGATCAGCCTTAATCCTATGGCTTGGCATAAGTGTATAATTAAGGAAAGAAAACCTTAACTGATGTTAAGACCTGATTATGCACTTGTTTTCATGGTATCGTGAAAAAGGCTGGTCCTGAATATCTGTGTATCCTGAGGAGGTTTGCATGAAAATAAGAAAGAACTGGAATTTTGACATTTTCTTTCTAGCATTTTCATTTTACATTGGAATTCCGCTACTAGTACTTGGGCCCATGTAATGTTTAGTCACTTGTAACTGTATATCATGCTCGATTTCTCGTGTTACATATGTTATACTTGAACAATTTTTCCATCTCCTTTATACTGATTATAAATTGGAATACAGCGAGAAAATGCTGTAGATGACTTCAGAGCTGGGAAAACATGGGTTTTACTTGCCACTGATGTTATTGCTCGGGGTATGGATTTCAAAGGTGTCAACTGTGTAATTAATTATGATTTTCCAGATTCTGCAGCTGCGTACATTCACAGGATTGGTATGTCTCCTCATCCCTATGATTGTAACGTATGTACATGAAATATGGAATGTGTCAAATTTACAATGGTCAGTAGTTTCTTTCAGAAAAGAATTCTCTAGAAGACATATCATATATGGTTTATGAGAATGTATTAATAGAAAATTTGGTAGATGATTAATTTGGAAAACCATCGAACAAATATGATGCTTTTTGGGTTTGTTCCGTAAGACTTATTTGTTGGTTTAACCATCACTTCATAATTTGTAGAATTTATTTATCAAATTGAAGAACTTCTCTCGTTTTATGTCGTAGTCACTTGATTGTATCACTTTTTCCCGAGACAAGCCGTGCAAGGCTGCTTCACGTTTCGCTACAACTATTTGAATTTGTTTTTGGGGAATTATTTTACGGTGCCATTGAATCTGTTTGTAATTTTTCTGTGAAGGTCGGTGCGGACGAGCAGGGAGGAGTGGAGAAGCTATTACTTTCTACACAGAGGAAGATATTCCATATCTTAAGAATATAGCTAATGTGATGTCAACATCAGGTTGTGAAGTTCCATCTTGGATCATGGCCTTGCGCAAACAGAAGTGGAAAAAGCACCGACCCCGAAGGGAATCGATATCAACACAACCGAAAGATGAGAAAGAGTGAAGCAATTGTCATATCGTCGACCGGATTTTGCAATTTTGAATTGGAAGTCCTCAAAGCAACCATTTGTCATCGATGAATTATATTACAAATTGAATAGTTTGGGATGCTGTACGGATCGAAATGTACAAGATATTTACAAATTGACGTCGAAATTAACATCTATTTCATTCAATTTATGAAACAACTCAAAGCTCCTTTATCATGAGTCTAGCCATCAATAAGCTGTTCATAATTGAGTAACCCAATTTGAACGTTGTGAAAGCGAGGGAAAATGATGACTCGCATCCATCTGAATGGTCCAAGTTAGTTTCAGAAGTCCATAACTATTCACAAGTACAAGCTAATGTGATCTTTTGTGGTCAAATGTATGCCCCTGCCGTCTAAAACTTGACAACAAAACATCCTCCTTTGAAGGTAGCTTGTCCCTTGGGTGCGAGTAGCCAACACAAGCGAAAATTGTCAATTCAACGGCTGTAGAAGAACCAATACAAGCGAAAATTGTCGATTCAACTGGGCAAAAGAATGCAAGTCTTTGTGGACTTGTAACTCCAATGATAACTTTACCTGCTGGAGTTCAAATCCGGTCACCTCATCAAGTATCGTTTTGCAGTTCATAGTTTTAAGCCATCAACTTTGCGAACGAGAAAAGTTTTCCTCTTGATACGCAGACTTAGAGTAGACATTGTATGGTTGAAACTTGAAACTGCCGCTGCACACTACCCTGGTGCTGCAGGTCTGACCGCTGCCTTCTTATCCAACTGCTTCAGTCAATGTTAAGGGTCTTAACGCTCTTTACTGCTGTGCAGCCTTAACCAGTCCCTCAGGTGAGGGCTGTGCCGCCCTGCCTTTCAATCGAAATGCAGTTTAGCATTTCTTGGGGTCTTAGATCACGACTGACTGATGCTATCTTGTTTAGACTAGGAACTTTCAAAAGATCCTGGCATCCACTTCCTCTTGCTCCGGAAACAATAATTCGACGTTGTTACTTGAAGCCTATGCCTGAAGTGGGTCATAACCATCATCCAGCATCTGCAGCCACAACTCCTCTAGCATTGCATATATTTTACCTCTCTCAGGATGCAGGCAATCTTCAACAAAAAATACATGGATCCTATCCTTAACCTCAATCCAGCTCTGCCCTGGGACTTTCCTGACGTCCCTTTCTCTCATCAAGTTCCTCAACCTGGCAACATCATCCCAATTGCCAGAAGAAGCATGGATGTTGCAAAGCAGCACGAGAGCAGCAGAATGGGAAGGATCTAATTTTAGTATATTCTCTGCTGCCCGTTTTCCAATCTCAACGTTCCCACGGGTTCTGCAGGCAGCAAGTAGAGTCATCCATACCAGAACGTCAGGTTCAAATGCCATTTGCGTGATGAATGCCTCTGCTTCATGTAAGCATCCGGAACGAGCAAGTAAGTCAACCATACAAGAACAATGCTCTATTGTTGGTACAATCCCATGCTCGGATTCCATGGTTTTATATATTTTCCACCCTTCTTCTACCAGTCCAATATGACTGCAAGCAGTAAGGACACCCACCAGTGTAACTTCATTGGGTTTTATGCCCAATTCCGTCATTCTTTTGAAAAGGTCAAGAGCTTCCTCTCCATATCCAAACTGAGCATAACCCACGATTAAACTACTCCACGAGACAACATCTGGATCCTCCATCCAGCCGAAGAGCTTTTGCGCACTTCCAATTGATCCACACTTTGTATACATGTCAATTAATCCATTGCTGACAGTAACATCAAGCACAATCCCACTTTTTACAGTAAAGCAATGAATCTGATTCCCAACCTCTAGAGATGATATATTTGCACATGCTCCAATCAAATTACCCAAAGTAATATGATCAGGTGTAGTTTTCAGAAATACGCATTAAATTTAGTAATCTGAAAACCTCCCCAGCCTGGTTGTGCTGCATGCACGCGCTAATAATAGCATTCCAAGTAACTAAATCAGCATCATTTCTTATATCTTCAAACACAAGAAATGCATCATAGAGATTTGAACACTTGGCATACATGGTTAGCAAACTGTTGCATACAATAACGGTAAAATCAAAAGCCCTCTTGATAATGTAGGAGTGGATCTGCTCACCCTGATAGAGTGTTGAAGGGCTTGTGCAAGCAGTTAGTATGGGGAGAACACTAACCTCGTCAGGGATCAGTCCCTTATGCCGCATCTGAGAAAAGAATAATAATGCTTCATTAGAATCACCAGCATTCGAAAACCCAGAAATAATTGCATTCCAGGACACTAAATCGGGCCTGTCTATCTGATAAAACACTGTTCTTGCAGATTCCAATTGCCCACATTTTGCATACATGTCACAAAGGGAGCATCCAGCAAAGATGTCTCTCCCCAAACCAAATTTTATGCACATCCCATGTATCTGCTTTCCATATTCAGGTTCAAGAAGGCCGCCACACGCACTGAAAGCACTCCCAAATATAAACTCATTCGGCTGGTAAGCACCCTGAAAGAGCATTTCTTTGAAGTGATCCAAAGCTTCTTTTTCATAACCAAGCTGGGAAAACCCTGCAATCATCGAACCCCAAGAAATCAAGTCCTTTGTCGGAACACGAGAAAAGACATCAAAAGCATCTGCAATCAGACCGAACTTCGTGTACATTGAAGTAAGGGCATTCTGTGCTATAGGATGAGAACCAGTTTCTGATTTAACAACATGGGCATGCAGCTGTCTCCCCAGCAGTTCATTCCGCAAACCCGAACAAGCTTTTAGGACGCTTCCAAAGGTGAAGTGATCAGGCACACAACCTGCCCTCAGCATTTGGAAATACAATTCAATGGCTTTATCCTCTTGACTATTCTGAGAGTACCCAGAAATCAGTGAAGTCCAAGAAACCACATTTCTCTCAGGCATTGCATCGAAAACCTTACGTGCATCCGCGAGCGACCCACATTTTCCATACATGTTGAGAACATGATTCTGAAAAACAATGTCCGGCTGGTAATTGGATGCCAAAGTATGGCCATGGATTCTCCGGCCGTGTTCGAGAGACCTCAAAGACGAGCAAGCATAAACCAAATTTGTGTAAGTGCGGGGAAATATTGGGAAGTTCGTGTGACCTTGTAAAAACTCAAATGCTTCAATGGCTTCTCTGTAAAGCTTTTGCTTGCACAAGGAGATTATGTAGTTGTTGCTAAACTGTTCGTTGTTGAAGTTTGGTAAAAGAGATGGAGGTCGACTTGGTTGACTCTTGTGGAATGTCAACGGTAGGGGGGATTTTAATCTTTTCATCGTGGTCAGAGGAGAAAGATTTCTCCCGTTTGTTTTTGGCTTATGATGTTCGTTCGTCTCATCTGCCGCTCTTTTGTTTGAAACAACAATGATTTTCGCACATCACTCAAACTCAGGAAGGATTTTAGAATAAAGGAATTATTTCCTTTCAAGTATGCCTTCTTACGTTACAACTTACATCATCATGTAGCAACTCCCATATAAATAGGGGACAAGGACTGTCTGCTCTTCCACTCATTGAGGAGGCTATATAGGATTCTGGTGTTAGATCCATCATATATGGTCCTGTTCGATTTTTAGGTAGAAAAGAACCAAATAAGTTCAAACTAAAATTGACCACTCCTAAATTAAGAAAAACTAATGAAAATGGTCTCACAAAACTAATTTTTAATAATAGTTCTTGATGAACTTTTATTTTTTTCTAATCTAAATTTAAACTTATATGGGTACATTCTTTTTCTTGATTTGAAAATGTATCCATGTCAAGTTTAATCAAAGATATTTACTAATGTTATTAAGCCTAATATCTATTATTTTTTGTGTGGTTTTGAAGAATGTACCTATATTTTGGTACAAAATAATTTTTTTGTTAATTTTGATGAATGTACCCATGTTTGTATACATACACACACACACACACACAATATATTGGAGAGTATAATTTATATTTTAATAATTTTAATCCACAAATTATGGGCTTTTTTTATTTAAAATCTCATTAATACAAACAACTATAAATTTCAATTTTTAATTTAAAAAATATAATAACCTACATAGAAATACATTATCACATTAATTTCAGGAACTTCGATAAAAAATTGAAAACCAACAAGATTTCAGTCAAAGAATATTAATAGTTAGGGACCGCATCCAAAATGTCCCTATTAATAATAATGATAATAGACGGTTGAAATATTGTCATTTTCCGAAGTTTTGGGGTACCGACGACTGTTTCTTAAGAAACAATTAGTTATGAATAAATAACTGCCATCAAATTTCAGCTTGTTTTTAATACTGTCATTGCTCTAAACTTAAACTTATTTATGATGCTATCATTACCTCCAAATTTTAACTTATTTATGATATTGCAATCACCCGTTGTTTTTGGCCTTATTATTTAACAAAATTTCATTAAGTGCTTCTACTAAAAATTAGTTTTGTGAAGCCCTTTTGAAGAAAGTTGACGTTCTACCACAAAATAAATTAGCAATATGGAGAGTCACCTAACTTATTTGTAATTGTTCGTACAATGTCTCTCCTCCTATCAATATAAGACTGATTCTCAACAACTTTTCATTAAAAATATTTAAATAAAAAGTTAATTACATCTATGCCTTCTGAAATTTAATTTAAATCTCACTTAGAAAAACATTCACTCTTTCAAATTTAAAGTATATCTTCCAAAAGTAACCACAAAAAAAAAATATTTAAAAAATAAAAAATTCTAGTTTGAAGCCTTTTTAATGGTACTCAATGAGTAGTTAGTGACATCAATGTCTGTTGCCTTGGATCAAAATATAAGGAATGAGATGATGTGTCAGTTTAATGGCTCCTTCAAGTATCAGGAACGGGGTACGTGGAAGAATTTTCATATCTAATCTTAAGCTTAACAAGAGGCCCTTGAGCAATTGAGTTTTGCTTTCATTCAACAATCATCAGCTTTACATATGATTTTTTATCATAATGGTGAAACTCAAAATTCGTACGACTCATAACATCACGTTTACTTTGGCTGTTATGTATGTACATGTTCTTGTTAATCTTGCGGAAGAAAGACTTATATAGAACGAATTACAGTTTTATTGTGGCGTCTCATGCTAATGTAACAAACATGTGTAAATTGTTGTTCATGTATCTTTATTTCATTGACAGAATGCTAAAGTACGTAGTAGTGTGCCTTCATGTTGATGATCATCAAATAGAATAAAGTAGGATGAAAATAACACAATTACGTTAGAGATACTTGTAGATGCAAATTTTGTACACGGCTAATTTGAAGTAATTCTACTTATAAGAGAACAAACACCATTAGCCTAATTGACGAACGCCCTTAAAAAAAAGGTAGGGTGTCCGCCAACAATCTTCCAATGCATAAGTCAAAAAAGTAGTAGAACATACTAGGCAATCCTTAATGATACACAACAGTCTCTACAATCCTGCCATCAGTTCCGAAGATCCCTATTGGTAAAAGTGCATTTTCCAGGCACCTAAGGGGAGATTACGGAGAGTTGGTGAGCCTATAATATATGTCATGGGCAGCCTGGAAACTTCATGGTGCGTTAGTGGCATAAAAGCCCAACTACCTTAGGTCAAACTATGTCCTATTCCCTTAGGTAATTAATGGTCTACTATTGACTTCAAGTAAAAACCGTCATAATGAGCATATTGTCTGCGTGTCCTCCTCCTATTCGTAGTGATTAATTTATGTCTCCACAACATGTACACAAGTAAAACCGATTACAATCTTTAATTAAACAGTAGAGATAACTTATCCCCTAATTCTATCTTTAAGTAAAATTTAAACATGTTCTATTTGAGTGTATTTATCCTTATTTTAATGGTTTATTGACTCTGAAAATTCATGCCCTTTGATCCCCTTTCATGTTCTCTATTCTTTTTTTGTTCCTTTCTTTATATATAATTTGGTCGACTCCAAATTACAAAACAAATCCTAGCAATCGGTTGAATTTTGATGCCAATTAGTTGATGGGTTTCTATCCCAACAACAATTTGGTGCGAAGACAGCAACTCAAGTTTCCGATTTCTCTCCAACTCGTTTTTACTTGAAGCAACAACCTAAAAAAGCAAATTCCTTACCTAAAGAAACACCTCAAAGCAAAAACAAATGCTCTTTGAGTTTGGCAGTACCAACCATAGCTCCGTCTCTTTTTTATAAGAAATTTACTCCTTCTGTTCGTAAAAACAAAACTGATATAAAATTTTACACATAAATTCCTACATCATATATTATTCTGACCAAAACCCACCGAAACTCAGTAACCCTAATACCAAATTTAATAGCTTTTTTCAAAGAAATGGGGACAACAGAAAGAACAAAGAAGAGGGCTCAATTATGGAAGAAAGCAGCGGTCCATTTTGCTTTGTGTTTTGTTATGGGGTTCTTCTCAGGCTTTGCTCCAACGGGTAAGGCGTCACTTTCCGCTAGAACCGCTGCCGTGGTTTCCCCCAATAAATCACCGCACTTTCCGCCGCAGTCAGTAGAACCACCGCAAGAAGTACGGGATGCTATTAATAGAAGTTTGATAGCTACAGAGGCACAAAATGTGTCAATGGCGGCAGCAGCAGAACCTGCAAGGCATAAAAAGTACTCCGAAAACACGAGGTTCATGTCACAACAAGAAGAAGTGGAAGAAGAGAAAGAACCCGAGGTGATGACACCGAGAAGGTTCATAATCATAGTCACTGCAACAGCAACAAGCACGAAAGACATTAAGTTTAAAAGTGTGTTTTTGAAAAGACTGGCCAATACTTTAAGGTTGGTTCCTCAGCCGTTGCTTTGGGTCGTGGTGGCGCCGAAAACAGAGACGAATGAAGTGTCTGAATTGCTGAGGGGAACGGGGATTATGTATAGGCATTTGGTTTCGAGAAAGAATTTCACAGACGCAGAAGCTGAAAAGGATCGCCAGAGGAACATTGCTCTTAAGCACATTGAGAAGCACAGGATTAGTGGGATTGTTCACTTTGCCGGGCTTTCTAATGTTTACGACCTTGGCTTCTTCGACCAGCTCAGAGAAATTGAGTACGTAAATGTTCCTTAATTCACTATTTTTCTCATTCGATTAAAATTTTTTACTTCGAATATTTTGTTGTATTATTAATTTTTGCCTAGTATTATGTTGTTAGAAATGGATTTTGATATCATGAAAATGTCAAACATTTTCTTTCTTTCTTTGAACGTCAGAACTTATGGTTCTTTATCTGAAGGGATGGAGGTTTCAAAGTTCGAGTAGTGTCTAAGAAATGTGTGATTGCCGGAAGAGGAAAAGAAGTGTCCCGTATTAGGACTAAAAAGGTTGTGATTACTGAATTTTGTTGTACTTTGCAAATATTCTAGGGTGGTGCTATCAACACACCCTTCTAAACTTTTGATTGTTGAATCAAATGAATTGAAGATGATCATATAATATATATTAATAAAGGTATGTAAAAAGTAAAAAAATGTGTGGATAGCACCATATTCTAATGTGCATGTGTCTAGTTTCTCACTATTCTTATTCCTAATTCCGAGGTTTGAAACCAACCATAGGTCTCGCAGTGGGATCTACGTGCATCAATATAGTTGATAGTTGTTTATGTATGTGGTGTGACTGTTATATAAGTATAGTTTTTCATTCGAAATTTCTGAATAAAAACCACTAAATAAAATTTACTATTGATTTTTATATTACTGTACATAAATGGATACATTCTTGTAATATCTAAACAGAAATCTATTGAAGGAGAATCTTTTGTAAAGTAGTATTTGTTTCTACTGCTTTTTGTGTGTGTTATTAATTAAAAATGCATGCTTCAATTGCATATTAATTTGCAGGGTTTTTGGGACATGGCCAATGGCACTACTTTCAGCAAACATAAAGAAGGTGATCATTGAAGGACCTGTATGTGATTCTTCACAAGTCATAGGATGGCATTTGAAGCAAATGAACAATGAAACTGAGACTAGGCCTCCCATTCATATCTCAAGTTTTGCGTTCAATAGTTCAATTCTTTGGGACCCCGAGAGATGGGGCCGCACTTCATCTCTTCAAAGCTCCTATCAGGTACATAAATTTTCTCCTATCATACAGTCTAACGTCAATGTTTAAGTTACGACTGCTAAATATGTAGAATCATGTTTGTAAGGGTAACGTCTTGATTCAAATCTAATAAAAATAAAAATAAAACCATACCCGAAATTACGAAGATAATAAGATTATTAAATTGATACGATATCAAAACTAATCATATCTTTTTTTTTGAATTATAAAAGCATGTGGATGCTTATTTTGCTTTTGAATATATGTTTATTAGTGACACCTATACATTAGTACTGACAAACACAGGCGTTTATATATATGTTTATATATTTCTTGAGTTTAACAATTGCTGTTTTGGCAACAGACGATCAAATTTGTAAAGCAAGTGGTTCTTGAAGACGAAACAAAACTAAAAGGAATCCCACCAGAAGACTGCTCCAAGATCATGCTTTGGTGTCTTCGTTTTCATGCCGCAGGAGGAGCCACGACACCACACCAAATCAATCAACCAACAAACAGAAATTAATTCCATCGGTGGCAAACCAAAAGGACAAATTACTCGATCATTTTTTTTTCTTTTATCATGTAATTCTTTGTAATTTTATTAGTTTTTTTTTTTTAGTAGTAGTAATAGCAGCAGCAGATGATTTTACACCGACAGTATACTTAAGTCAGTAGCTTAAATCATCATATCATACGAATTACCTTTCTCCCATTTTATAGCAACTTTCCCAACTTACAATAAAATAGGGTTGTTACTCTTTTTTTTTTACGTGTTTATATTTATACTACCAAAACCATATTGTTTGAGTTTGATAAACAACATTTATAATTGCATCGAGATCTTTCATCGAATAATCTTAATTACAATCAAGTAGATAAAGAGATGTGAGTAGACCCAAAGTATACTATACATTGGGAAAATAAAAAACACAACAGTGGACTCACATATATCGTCCATAAATGAGTCGAGCCAAATCATATATCAACGTTTAAGTATTGCTTGTTTAATAATTTTCGAGATCAAATTAGGCTTGGCTTACTTTCTATACAAGTTGAGCTCCATTGAGCTTGAAAAAAATTCAAGCTCAATACCTAGCTCAAGCTATCTACTATTAATAACAAAACTTCGAACTTACACTACTACAAAAGGACCTTACTATATCGGTGGTTGGTGTCACTTTTATACAACATAGTGGCGGATAAGACATTCCAACACCTACTTAACATGGTGTCAGAATTACTGTCGGTTATAACCGACATAAATTGTTAATGTCGCTTATAAACGACATATTTTAATATTTTTAATACTGGTGTCGCATTAAAATAAATTGTGTCACTTTTAACCGACATAACGTTAACGTCACTTAAAAGACAACTGGTGTCGCTTCTACCCTACACTAATGATAGTTTTTAAATATTTTCAAAGACAGTGTCAGTTGTAGCTGACATAGGTTTTAATTATTATTAAATATTTTGAAACCTTGTGTCAGTTGTAACCGATATAATGTTAGTTTCAGTTAAAAGAAATATTTTCAAAGCCAGTGTCAGTTGCAGCCGACATAGTTTTAATTTTTTTTTTAAATATTTTGAAATTCGATATCAGTTGTAGGCGACAGATTGGTAGCCTTTATATACCATCCCCATGTTTTCTTCTTCCTCTCTCACAACTTTCTTATTTCTTCCTCCAATTTATAAACCCTCCCCCATGTTTTCTTCTTCTTCTCTCGCATATTTCTTATTTGTTCTTCCAACTTCATTAATTCATTCTTCTCCATAGTAAGTTTTTCTTGCTTCTAGTATTTTATTTTATCTTCTTATGTTTAATTTTATTTGCAATTTAATTTTGTAGGGATTTTATTTGAGCTGGTTGAGTACATAAAGAATTGATCGATGATGGAATTCTTCCATAATTCAGGTTTCTATCACTAAATTCCTTAATTTTTAAATTGCATAATACACAAGTTTATTTATTTAAAAATTCTAATTTAAGTATTTAGATAATTTTGTACGATTTATATTAAATTAATAAACATTTAGTCAAATTAATTAATTTTGTCACTTGAATTGTTATGAGAAAATGAAAATAAATAATATTTATAAGCATTTATGTTAAATTAACATTATTAAATATAACATAAACTGATAATATATAGTAATATAAGAATATATTATGTTAAATTAAATTTTTTTTGCACTCTAATTGTTACGAGGATATTCAAAACCTGAATTTAACAAACAATCAAGATTAGATGAGCATAATTTTGATAACGTTTTGTTGTTATTTTAATTTGTTTTTACTATAATAGGTGTTGGAAATTAAAAGATTGCAATCGTGATAGAGTTCAAGGGTTGAAAGATAGAAATTGAAAATTCTAATAGTTATGTCTACATGATAGGGATTGAAAGATTGTAGGGATCTTAGTGTCAACATAATATTTTGCCTTGTAAAGTAGTAAAACATGGACAAGAGTTGGTTGACGATACCTCAAAATTTTGAAGCGTATATAGATGGAATTAATTTATTATTGGATTAAGCAGTTGCAAATGGTGTTGGCCCCGATAAGTTTAGATGTCATTGCAAATGATGTTGTAATCGATATACTTTTGTAAGGAACACTATTGTTGAACATCTCGTATTGTATGATATGGATAAAGATTATAAAAACGCTTGGTGGCGCCATCATGGTGAGCCCAACATTAGAGAGCAAATTGTGGCAATTGGAGAAGAAGAAATAGGAGATGAGGTGACTGGTATGCATGATTTTCTTAATGATGTATTTGTCTAACCATTAACAGGAGAAGGTGTTGGGTCGTCTACTGAACCCCTTATTGGGGAAGGGCAGTAAGAAGAGGTGGAGACTTTTTTTAGGTTACTTAAAGAGGTAGATCAAGATTTGTGGCTAGGTTGTAAGGAGTTTAAGAAATTGGAAGCGGTTGTAAGACTGTATCAGATCAAGTGTTTAGCAAGAATGCCAGACAAGATCTTCACCACTTTACTCGAGTTAAACGAATGTTGCCTGAAGGGGATTGTTTGCTTGAATCATGTTATAAGGCAAACAAACTTATAAATGACTTGGGTATGACATATGTGAAGATTGATGCATGTCCTCATGATTGCATGATCTATTAGAAAGACACTTCGGAGTTGACCGTATGCTCGATTTGTGGTAAATCAAGATATAAAATTACCAACACAAAGGAAACCTTGAGGAAAAAAATCGCAGCTAAGGTTATGTGGTATGTTCCTTTAGAAGCACAATTGCAGCAGTTTTTATGTCGAAACATACATCTGAACATATGAGGTGGCACACAATTGAATGTCCTAAGGATGAGTTTATGAGGCATCCTTCAGATTATCCAGCATGGAAGCATTTGGATAATTTATATCCAGAGTTTGCGTAAAAAATTCAAAATGTCCGATTAGGGTTGGCCAGTGATGGATTTAATTCTTTTGGTAAAATGAGGCAAGACCATAACACATGGCCTGTGCTGCTTTCTGTTTACAATTTGCAGCCTTGAATGTGTATGAAGCAACAGAATTTGTTGTTGTCGTTGTTAGTATCAAGACCGCGCAGTCCTGGTGAAGAGATGATGTGTACATCCGTCTATTGATTGATGAGTTGAATGAGTTGTGGGAGGTGGGCACTCCTACTTATGATGCGTATTCCAACCAAAATTTTACAATGAAGGTTGCCGTCTTATGGACGATAAGTGATTTTCCGGCTTATGGAATGTTGTCAGGATGGAGTACACATGACTATAAAGCCTGTCCACATTGCATGCATGATACATAATCTATTTACTTGCCAATGAGTCGTAAGATTTGTTATTTGGGGCATCGACGCTTTCTTGCAGATAATCATAGGTTTCGATGGCAAACCACAACTTTTAATGGTCGAAAAGAGCATCGTAGTGCATCAAGGCAGTTGACTGGTTTACAATGTCTTGAAGAACTTTCTAGATTGAGATTTACTTTTGGAAAACCAAACAAATATGCTTCAATTGGGCAACGCAGAAGAAGAACTTCAAGCAGTAAAAGTAGTAACAATCAATGGAAGAAGAAATATATTTTTTATGAACTACCTTATTGGAGGCATCTGTTGATTAGACACAATATTATGCATATCGAGAAGAATATATGTGACAAAGTGGTAGGAACATTACTAGATATAGAAAAGTCTAAAAATGGATTAGCTGCACATGCATATCTTGAAGTCTTGAACATAAGACGTAGTCAACAGCCACATAAAGATGGAAATACAACATTTCGACCTCCATCATTGTTCACGTTGAAAAGAGAAGAAAAAACTGCCTTTTGCAAAGTGTTATCTACTATTCGGGTCCTCGATGGATATTCATCAAAATTGTCGCGATGTGTGCACGTGAATGAATGAAAAATACATAGGTTGAAAAGTCACGATTGCCATGTTTTAATGCAACAGCTACTCCCGCTTGCAATATGTCCGGTTTTACATAAAGTTGTTATTATGGTATTATTAGAGTTGAGTTCAATTTTCAGATTATTAGAGTTGAGTTCAATTTTAAGATAGTTGTGTAGTAAGAATGAGTCTGAGGAAGGATTCAAGCAATTGAATTCAAGAATTGCCTTGATATTATGTCAACTTGAAAAAAATATTCCCTCTTGTATTTTTTGATATAATGGTGCTCCTCCCAGTTCACGTGGCAGATGAAGCAGCTTTTGTAGGGCTTGTTCAATATAGATGGATGTATCCAATTGAACGGTAATTAACAATTTTTTATAACTTTTTTATAATTGTAGTCATAACTTTAATTAATAATTATAATAATTTGTGTTTCGTTTTATAATTGTAGGCATTTGCAAACATTGAAACGCTATGTTGGTAATAAGAGTCGTCCTGAAGGTTCTATTGCTGAAGCATATTTAGTGGATGAGTGCTTGTTCTTCTGTTCGATGTATCTTCGAGATGTCGAGTCTCATCGCACCCGTAGAGGCCGAAATGAAGACGGTATTAGATGTGGAGTAACTGGTGGGTTATCAATTTTTGACTCCAAATGATGTTATATGGGTTCAGGAGAAAATGTGGCACTCGATCTAAATGTTCTTGATTAGTGCCATAGATACATTCTAAATAATTGTGATAAAGTTAACCCATTTAGAAGGCAAGAACATTTAATCATACATCTTTTGGTTTTCTTAACTTTGAAAAATTAATTATCTAAATTTGGACAAAATTGCCCAGGCAACATGAGGAATTCTTGAAAACTAGATGTGGAGCCAAAAATAATCAAGAGGCAAAACGTGGATTTTGGGTGAAAATGACAAAATTACCCTCGAGGCACATCGGAATTCCTACACGCAAGCAGTGGACAATCATCCCATAATCAAGTCAAAAATGCCCAAATAGGTATTTATTTTTAAACCTATTTCATCCATCCTCATCAAATCCTCTCCACAAGGTAACCCCAAAATCATTTCTTTTTTAATTATATTAATTAGCTAATTAATTGATTTATTATTTAATTATTCCTAATTAGCTACAAATCATGAACCTCACCCAAAATACCAACCATGTGGCCGGTCATCCTCATCCTAAAGGGGCCGGCCACACCACACCCCGATAAATACTACCTTATTCTCTCTAAAACTCAATTTCCATTCATCAAGGGCACGTAAGGCTCTTGACCTTGACCAAAGGTGTTATTTGTTTTGTAGGTGCAATTTTGTCCAACAGTAAGGATAAAGAAATTTTCATCCACAAATT